TCCGGGGAAGCTGGCTCCCTCCCTGCAGGGGCTGCCCACACCCCAGCACTTGCCCCGGGGAGCCCCATGGCAGCCGATGGCTTTGGAGGGACACCCAGCTGGCCCGGGACGGTTTGTGGTTGTGGGGTGGCCATAGCGCCGAGGCTTTGCACAGCCGCCCCGCTGCTGCTGGCTTCCCCGGGGGCTTGGGGTTGATTTTCCTCCTGTCCTGATGAGCCAGGGTGGCTCGTCCCATGGCTGCTCCTAGTGACAGGAGTCCCAAGCGTGAAGCTAGCCATGTGACGGGGTCAAGCTCTGTCCCAAACTGAGCCTGGTCCCCCAGGTGTGGGCTGGGCTGCCCCAGGCTGGCAGCTGACACATGCCCCCAGCTAGGGTGTGGGCACCAGGGCTGGCAGGGGCACCTGCATCCCTGGGGGGGAGCAGCATGTGCTCCTGCTTCTGTGTGCCAGGGTGCTCCCCAAATGCCAGCAGTGCAGGACTGGGCACAGGAGGCAATGCACATCCCGGGCAGCCCTGCATGCCCACTGCATCGCTGGTGGGTAGAGGGGATCCAGACCACCTCGGAGCTTGGAGCACCCCAGCTGCAGCACTGGTCTGCTCGCGTTCCCCCGTGGGCACCTTGCACAACCTCTATCCTTCTCAGCATGGTTGGCACCAGCTCCGGTGGCACCTTGGCAAGGGCAGTGCCCGGCCACAGGGCCCGCCAGGTTCGGCTCCCCTGCTGGGGTGGGGGCACCGCTGGCGGCAGCCCCAGGCCCCGTGCTCCTGAGCCAGTCCCGGATCTGGCACCCAGCCCGAGCAAACGGGTGAGCTTCGCAAACAAGCTTCGACCGGCAGTGAGCGCCTGCCAAGTACGCGTGCGCTTGGTGGGGCCAAGCTGTGGGGACACTGATGCTCGGGGTGGGGGGGTCCAGCCCCAGCACTGAGGGACCATGGTGCTGCCCACCCTGCCCAGGGCCAAATTGCCCCGTTGCCCTTGGGTGGGCACAGACCCAGCACCTGCTCCTGGCTGGCTGGGCAGGAAGCGGGCAGGGCAGAGACCGGGCAGTGCCTGGCACAGGCGATAAGGCTCTATGCCGGACGTCCAGGCAGCCTGGCTGGGCAGGATGGGGCTCTGCCACGCTGCTGGGGAGCAGCTACCGTGCCTGCTGTCAACTGCTGTCCCTGAGGGGCTCCACCATGCTGCGGGCACAGGGCCACGTCTGTCCCATGCTGGATGCCCCAGTGCCACCAGAGCCGCTGACAGGGGTCCAATCTCTGCAGACCCCCCTGCCGTCAGCATGGCAAACCGGGGACCGTCATATGGCCTCAGCCGGGAGGTGCAGCAGAAGATCGACCGGCAGTATGACCCTGAGCTGGAGCAGGTCCTGGTGCGGTGGATCCTGGCACAGTGTGGTGGGGATGTCGCGCAGCCAGCACCTGGCAGGGATGGCTTCCAGCAGTGGCTGAAGGACGGCACCGTGAGTACCCCCAGGGCCGGCTGGGGCAGGGGGCTGCTGCGCCACACCACCTGACCCCTGGCTCCCTCCCGGCCAGGTGCTGTGCCGGCTCATCAACAGCCTGCACCCGCGGGGCCAGGGGCCGGTGGCCAAGATCCAGGCGTCTGCCATGGCCTTCAAGCAGATGGAGCAGATCTCGCAGTTCCTGCAGGCAGCCGAGCGCTACGGCATTGCTGCCACTGACATCTTTCAGACCGTCGACCTCTGGGAAGGTGAGTGGCTGGGTGGGTGCAGGGGACGGTGACGGGGTTGGAGATGGATGGGGACGGGGCTGAGCCTGCCTGGGGCCTTGCAGGGAAGAACATGGCGTGCGTGCAGAGGACCCTGATGAACCTGGGCAGCCTGGCCGTGGCCAAGGGCGACGGGCTCTTCGTGGGAGACCCCAACTGGTTCCCCAAGTAGGTGGTGGGTGCTGGGGGGGGGTGCCGGGCCATGGGGTCCAGGGGGGCGCTGACACCTGCC